ATTGAAATTCATGGAAATGGAGTTGGACATCTCCAAAACATTATCATATTTTGACCGAACATTTGGGCTTACGAAGGGTTTATTCCGCATAAATTGACTGACGACCAAAAATTGCTCAGAATCCAACATTCGAAGGACAATTATTTGACCAAAAATCACATTTTAACCATTAATTACTCTTATGCATTTGATATGGCACCGTGAAACTTCTTTCCTTTCGGATAAATGCATTTATCCATGAAAGGAAAGCGTTGTAAGTCTTCAAGGCCATTCAAAAGGGTTGCAGAGCATACTGGAAGCCAAAAACACTCGTTCGACGTACTTTGGACCGTGGAAAGAGTTGTATTGAAGCACAAGAAGACTATTTTAAATAAAATAAATTGAAGTTGCCGAAAAAACGATTTGTTCTGTTTTTTGTTTTTTTTTTTATTTTTTGTTGGAACGTACCTTATAGTTCCATATTAAAAAAATTATTTTATATTTATTGTCATCAACTGCGGTTCAAAATGTAGGTTCTGTAGTAATTTTTATTCAAACAAGTTAAACTCTTAATATGATATAAAAGAATGCTTAAGAGAGAAGGAGTAAAAAAGAATCGAAAATACTCTAAAATCACTTTTAAACTTTTATATTTAATTTTTATTTCTATTTCGTTTTAAATTCCACCAATTATATCCCCACACAGTGTCGAAGCAAACACGAGGGAAAATTTGTTTTAAAGACGGAAGGATTGGCGTAAGACCTTCATTAGTTGTAATGAAGTGAAATCACTTTTCGTATGTAAAACAAGTGAAACACAAATACTAAAGAACACAATAAATAAAATTCCACAAATTGTTTGTAAACAATATTGAGCCGAGTAAAAGCTGAATACACGGGGTAGTGGAAAAGCTGAAAAGTGAGGTAAGAACGGAAGGGCAGTGGCACAGCGCAGAGCTTTCCCGAAACCTAAATAAACAGCTGCGATAACTTTGACACTGAATACTTACTGCGATGCGCCAATAAAAACAAAGAGCACAGAAGAAGTTATAGGAAATCAAACGCACACTCTCCTTAACACATACAATGCTACTTATATTCGAAAATAACCCCAAATTTCTCCTTTGCCTCAATACCTAGAAAGCGCACGAAATGAGAGCGTGAGTGGAGCGGAGAGTGCTGAAGTGAACAAAGGCAGCAAAAGACAAATAACAAAATTTTAAATATTAAATGAAAAATCCCAAAAACAAACATGCCGAAAGTAATGTAAAACATGTTGCTAAAACAACAACAATAAATATTCAATTTGTGTTTAGTTAAAAAGAAACGCCGGGCGGCAGTGGGGACCCGTCAAATTCGGGTTAAGCGTTTTAGCCAAACATACACATATGAAATCATAGATATTTTTGTAAGCTTGTAAATATATTTACATATGTATGTGTATGTATATACTCACATATATATACATGCTTGTGCCTTGAGTTCGCGCGCACAATTAGTACAGCAATTTCTGCTGAAGCCTGAGCAATAGCATGCGTAGGCAACGAGGTCTGCACAATACATATTGCGAATTACAAAAACAATAGCAATACACAATAACAGCTAAATTCAAGGCCAAAAAACAGCGAACATAATATGAATATGTCCCAAAGGAGTTTACGGCTTTTTGACTTTACAGCGGGGGGAAGGACGTGAAAGCGACTTTCTGTGGCAAATGTTCACGAAGTTAAGTGCAGTGGTGAGAGAAAGTATATGTATTCAAATTGCCAATTAATTATTGAGAAGTTTTTAAGGAAGGATGACGACACCGATTTAGCCGTATTATTTAAGTATGTTCTGCCCAATCCATAAAAAGCGGGATGCCACGACCTGCGTCAACTACCGTGTTATACCGTGTTATAGGCCACAATCGTAGGCTTGTCTCAAATGCAGTTTTCAACTACACTTCATATGCCAATAAACACGAAGAAGCTGCAACAGTTTTAGAGCGAATTCTTCATTCCTCGTAGAACTTACTTGAGCACGAATAAAACAAAAACTTTTGAGAGAATTCCATTTCTCTTACAATTTATCAGTTACTGTGTTTGGGCTCCCTATATAAATTATAAACAATCACTTTAATACCACATAGCATTCACAATGATAAACAAATTTCGTTCAGCGCACATTTATCTGAACAACATGGCCATGTGTAATATTTTTCATTGCTGTCTCGATAAAGACTGAACGATAGAGCGTAAGTATACACTCTGTACAGAAAGTATCGGATATTCTTCATTTAAATCTCCTCCTTATATTTAAGGCAGGTAAAATTAGCGCGATCTGGCAACCAGTGTATTTAAAGCACCTGTGGACTGTCTTAGTAGAATCCAGCACTGCAGAAGCGAGTTGAAATTTGATTATGAGTTTTCTGGGATCTGAAACCTCCGGTTCCATTTTCCATACTCAAAGCTTTCCACTAAATTTTTGAATAAATACTCATAAAATTCCTTTATCGATGAAATTTGCAAGTCTTCTTCTTCTTTGCTGGCGCAGAAACCACTTACGCGCTTATAGCCGAGTTAACAACAGCGCGTCAGTCGTTTTTTTTTCCCCAATGTGGCGCCGTTTTGGAGATTCCTTCTCTTCCTCGTCTTTCCAACGGAGTGGAAGTCTTCTTCTTCCTCTGCTTCCCGACATTCGACATTGTATAACGATGAGTTGGTTCCATCGAATGCGGTATTCGCTGTGGCCAATGCGTAGAGGACCATAAATCTTCTGCAAAACCTTTATCTCAAAAACTCGTAACGTCGACTCATCAATTGTTGTCATCGTCCATGCCTCTGCACCATATAGCACGACGCGAATTATGAGTGATTTATAGAGTTTTGTTTTGGTTCGTCGAGAGAGGACTCAATTACCTACTTAGTCCAAAATGGCACCTGTTGGCAAGAGTTATTCTGCGCTAGATTTCCAGGCTGCCATTGTGGGTGGTTTTTATACTGGTTCCAAGATAGACGAAAGTACCTACGACTTCAAAGTTATGACTTTCTACAATGACGTGGGCGCCTAGTGGCGAAAGAGACGACAATTTATTTGATGACATTAAATATTTTCTCTTGCCCTCTTTTACAGAGTTGTTAAGGATATTGGTATCAATATCATCGGCGTTCGCCAACAGCTGTACACTCTTATAGAAGATGATACCTTCTCTGTTCAGTTCTGAAGCTCGAATTTGCTTTGTCTGAAACCTCGTGAATACCTGGTCAGTTGTGGATTTGCCAGGTTTAAAAGCACACTGATAAGGTTTAATCAGTTTGTTGACGGTGGGTTTTAATATTTCACACAATACACTCGATAGAGGCTTGTATACGATATTGAGTAGTTGTGTACTGATTTGGAGTTTGGCTTACAAAAAATAAAATTACGGTATTATTATTATTAATCTTTATCACCAAATCGATAAAAGTAGTGAAAAAATGTAAACAAATATCTTTCACGTTTTTCGACAGAATTACAAAAGAACTGAAAACCTGAAACTTATTTAAAATAAACCAAATTTAATCTGATTAATATCAAATGACAATATTTACCAATTAATTTTATTAAAAACTTAAGTCATTTGAATATATTTCAACAACATCAAATAGCAGGTTTCAATTACAATACTCTCCAAACGATAATAATTAAATACTACTCATAATGAGTGGGCACGCTTACAGCTACACATTAGGTCACTTATCACGTGTAATTGTTAATCAGCGTCTTAAGAATGTAAACTATTATCTACTGGCAGTAAAACTGAGAATTTTTCTACTTTTAGTGATAAGTACTTCTCTCATTAAAAGCAAGTGCTTTCCGGAGTGTAACTTTTATGATGTACGTGTGTATATGGTAACTATTATTCTATTACACAGTGTAAACGGCTTTTATAACAAAATATTATGTAACAATGTTTTCTTTCATTAAATATTTAGCGATGTGAATTCTTGAATGGCAAAAGCATCTGTTTTATTATCTTTCCAACACAATGAGAACGGCCTATTTTAGTGAAGAGGTTAAATGTAATCTAAACAAATTTTCGATGGGGACATATTATTTAGCACTTCTCAGAAACGAAGTTGTGGTGTTAACCGTGGTGACCACGTTAAACGCTTGGCATAACATTTTTGTGTCTCTGGTAGTTTTTGCGTAGACTTTGTTCTTTTGATTATTAAAGATTTATCGTGACATTAATCAGGTCGATATATTTATTTCTCCCAATATATTATACTTTTCTCTTTTTTAAGGAAATTTAAAACTTTTGGAGAACATTTTGCCCTTTCCTGCCAAAGAGGCTCATTTGCCGGAACAAGGGATATCTGACCACTATAGGCGACTACATAGCTTTCATACATACTGATCAGTCAAAATCCAAACAGAGATCTTTCTACACTCTCTTTGGTGTAATAAATGCAACTGTGAATGCCTTTATAGCTGCTGACAGTTGGTAATGAAGACGTAATTAATACCACTACTAAAAACTCATTTGTTTGGGTAATTAGAAGGCGAAAAAAGTCCGGTCTTCCTATAACCTCGTCAGTTAATGTTAGCAAATAGAATTTATTTACTGAACCTAAAGATCTGAAACCGTTGGAATATGAATGCACATATGGGGTTCACTCAACTAGTCTAAGCTGTCAGTATATCGGCAAAAATGAAAACATTAGTGATTATCAAACAAGTAAACAAATGCAAATAGTGGGAAGCGACGACATGAGCATACCTAATATTTTTGCCAAAGTGTGTTATAACATTGGTCAATATTAATAAATAAACAAAAGCTGCACTAACTTAACCCCCGCAAAGCAAACAAGTGCAATTATAGCCAATCTCTACTAAACTGAAATGATCGAGTCGAACGCTCAATCGCTCATTAATCAGCACTCACGCTCAATCTATGAGAAATGAGAAGTATTTCCTTTAATGAAAGGGCCCTGTTATCACTGCCCTTTTATAGCTGAATTTCGAGTGTGAATTTGCTTGTCTATAAAAGCGCATCATTTCACTGAGCAAATTTTAGTTTAGTGAACTGCACAGAACATTCTATTTTGGATGATTAGCTCGGAGCTAAAAGCTGCTACAAATAAAAAAATAAAAAAAAGTTAATTTTCGATAAACAAAAGAAACTATAAAAATGGTTATCAAAAATCCGAACAATATAGTTGTGCCCGATTATTTGAACGAGAACTTCTTCGTGGCCGCGCTCGAGGAAGGTTTGCGTGCAATCCAGGTGACAGTTAGTGAAATAACTTTCGAATGGGCCACCAACCCCGGTGATAATTACTGCTCACGCATCTATCGCATCGCGGTCGCCTATGAGCGTCTAGTTGAAGCTGATGAGCCGCCAGTACAAGAACAACGGTCGTTAATTGTCAAATCTATACCGATTCCGAAAGACACCAGTTTCTTTGAAGATGTAGGTGTTTTTCTTAAGGAAAAAATTACCTTTTTGGATGTAATGCCACGGCTGCAAGTACTTGTGCCGTGTCCGAAATTCAGTGCCACGTTAGTATACCCAATAAAATTGTGGAACATTTCTCATTTATTTTTTGGAAAACAATTGAATGTTTTAAAATGATTTTAAATTTTTTCGGGTATTTTCAATTATGATTTCTTCTATTCTGCCCAGCTGCTATTATGCAACCAAATCACCCATTAACACCCTTGTTTTTACTGACTTGAAAAATGAAGGTTTTAGGGTTGCGCCACGACAGGACCAACTCGATTGGGCACACTGCGAATTGATCTTGCAACAAACGGCACGGCTGCACGCCACTTCAATGATTTTAGCCCAGCGAGTAAGTATATTGAAGAGAAATAAGTAAGAATTTTTTTACCATTATTGGTCAGCATATAACGGGAGTTATTCAGAAAAGAGCTGCTAGGAATGTGGTGAAGATATCCTTTGCGCAACAAAAACAATTTAAATGCTCTAAAATAGTGTGGTTTTCAAGGATAATGTGAATTTAAACTGAGTTGTGCATGTGTCATTTGGTTTATACTCAAAAACGATATGAAAATCGAACACCTTTTTTCAATTTAATTTAAATAATTTTCAAAAATTTTGACAAACCATGTATATATATATTATATATCTTTTTTATATATACATATCATTTATAGGATCCTGACATCACCAAGCGCTTGGTTGACGGTATGCTGTGCGAGAAGTCTATAGTGAAGTCTGATTTATTTAAGCAAATGTTCGGCGTTATGCTGAAGTACCTGGCTAACAATGCAGCCGGTTGGCCAGGTTTTGAAAAGATCGCACAGAAATTACACCGTTTCAATGATAATTTCAAGATCATATGTGCGCACTTATCAGATCGTCGTGAAGGCGATCGTTTCGTTGTGATGAATCATGGTGATCTTACTGTTTTAAATATTATGTACGCCTATGATGATCCCAAGCAACCTGATAAACCAACACGCGCTATTTTTGTAAGTTCCAGTGAAATTCAGAACTTTTTCTTTTCATTCCATTAATACATTTATGTTTTATGAACTTTCAGGTGGATTTCCAACTGAGTTTCTGTGGCAGCCCTGGCTGCGATCTCAACTTCTTTCTCAACACTAGTGTACGTCTTAATGTGCTAAAGGATCGACGAGACGATCTTATAAATGTGTATTATAAAACATTCAAGGAGACGTTGGAATACCTTCATTACGAAAATATACCGACTTTAGATGATCTAAAGTACGAATTGCGTGCTCGTGAATTGTATGGTCTTTTCGCTTTGTTCGGTTTTCTGCCCTTAATTACTATGCCAAAGGAGCTATCCGGAGATAACAGTATGGAAACTATGATAAATGAGGAGAAAGTCCGTCTAAAGTACCAAAAACTATTTGCTCAAGATAATGTACAAGCCCTGCTAAAGTATGCACTAAAGCGCTTTGATGATTTGGGTGTGTTGGACGAGTTTTAGTTAATTTTTAACATTGGGTACAACTACTTTATGGGTGCTGGGAACATGTAAATATGTATATATATTATTAACAGAATTTAAAAAATGTAAATAAAGTCTTTAGACATAACTCCAGTAAGGAAATATATATAGTCGTACTACCATGTATATCAGAACTATCACGCCCAAGAACATACAGTTCTCCTTTCTATCTACTCATATCTTTGTTTCTCATAATTTGCACAAGTGCTAAAGGCACTTTCCTCAATCATTAAATTAAGTTATGTTTTTTTTTAAATATTAACGGCAAGAACAAATATTTGCTCATTGCCAGTACTCGCACCATCAACGCACTATCAACGAACTGCACTTTGCTCTTCATTCGTTTGCTTCCCTCTCCTACATATGGTATACTCATATATTTGTTTCTCATATGAGAGTCATAACGGAACCGCTGCGTATTGCAAGACAAACAAGAAAAGATTATATTTTCCTCTCTTTCTCTTTTTTGTGCCCAGTACTCATATGCAGCTTATCAAATTTTACTCTCAACTTTGCGATCAGCTTTAATACCGCAACGATTCAAAGAAATAATACCGCTGCAAGCTCAGCTAAACCCTTATCGTCACTAGAAATGCAAAATAACATATCATCAAAAAATTCCAATTTGATTGTCTTATTGATTATGATTCATTACTTCAAATTGCATTCATAATATTACATATATCCAACATTTTCAGGTTCGGCCCTCAGATAAAAGCCAGTTTTAACCAATATTATATTTTTTTCACTCATGTTCTATTTTGTTTCGTGTTTCATTCATGCCACTTTAAATTTCCGAAAATGTTGTTACGCTATTTTGCATTTCAGGTGACATATACCTCACATCAGTTATTATGCCCAGTCAATACTTTCATGAAATACTTGACAACGTATCCGAATTTAGCTAAGCTACAAATAAATTCATAAAACTTTTTATAATCACATTCACATATTTTGAAATAATCTCATAATCCTCCATACTTAATTAACAAAGAGTAATGATAAGCCAACTGGCAAATGCAAAAATTGAAAAACAAGTCAATAACGAAAATTAAACAGTAATTATGCATGCGACGCGGCAAGCTTTTGTGAATTGGGCCAAGATAGAATTGAGGCATGCCCAGCGCCAAAGCGCACACTAAACGTAATACTATCTAATGAATGGATTTAATTATACGCCGCTCCGTAAAAGAGTCTCAAAAAGAAGTAAAAGATAGAAGGCAAAAGACAAAAAACAGTAAATGAGGCATTCGAACACAATCTTGACTGAAAATGAAAACCTTAGGAATAACAGAAATGTTTCGTAGGAAATAATAGTGCAGGGTGATTTAACGGTTTGTGATCTCCTTATTTATAAATAAAAGACAAATTTTTATTTTTCTAATTCGCAGGTAATAAGACTTTATGTAATATTCTCAAATAAATTAATCAGTTTTCACATATTGCTGTGGGCCTCTTCTTTTTGACCTTTCGAAACTTTCTGGACCATATATCACCCCAAAATAGGTCTTTTTCACTTCTTTAAAGTAGCCTCTCGTAAGTTGAAGCTTAGTTACGGTTTGCAACTAAAGTCAATCTGTCAAAAATATGTAAGCAGAGTTGTCAAGGTCTTAAAACTGTCTGTAGTAATACCATTTCCAACCATAGTACAGTTGTCAATAACATCTTTATTTGACACTTTTCACATGCAGTTGTTTTATAGACTATGTTTATTTTATTTTTTTTTTTTTAATATTAATACGAAATTAAAGACGTTGAAATAAACCGAGATTCCCACATTAGCTGTCTCTTATACACATCTAGATGTGTATAAGAGACAGCACTTTTCACATGCAGTTGTTTTATAGACTATGTTTATTTTATTTTTTTTTTTTTAATATTAATACGAAATTAAAGACGTTGAAATAAACCGAGATTCCCACATTAGTCAGACTTAAAAATTTTGATAGCTGACGGTTACCTCAATTGATTTTTCTACAGGGGTTATGAATACTAAAATAACTAGACATAAGATGACTCCAAGTGATAACTACGAAAAGCGTGTTTGAAAAAATTATGTAAATAAATCAGTTTTGATTAAAAACATTTGTTATTAAGTGAAGTGAAGAGAATTAAATTGTGATAGATTAATATTCAATAAATTCAAAATTTTAAATATTAACAACACTTAAATTAAAAAGTGCTTTTGAGATTGTCTGGAATTTGAAGTGCGGTAAGATGATCGTGTGGATAGGCTATTATACCTGCTAAAAGTGTCGCGCCGGATGTAAGGCAACTTATTATCGTTTTTTCTTATTGGACTTTGACCAGAAAAAGAGAATCTGAAAGGTTATTGCCCTAGTATAAGCTTTTTTTTATCTAATACAAGAACCAATTATATTTGCGTTATTTATAGTTAAGCTTTTACATCGAATTGATAAATGTTTTATCTAATAGTTGCCACCTAGTCATTTTTACTAAATATTTGCTCATAATGAAAAATGTCCGAACGCTTCCAAATATCCGAAAACACAGAAACTAAATAATAATACATATAAAATCAATACATCAGACTCTATTGATTATAGAAAGTTAACCAAAACATTGCCTGCACAGAATTCACCATTAAATATGCAATCTTGACCAATTACGGTAATCGTTAAAAATTTACATCACTCAAACGAGCTAGAGACTATTCTACCAGACGTTCATAAGAAGGGATTCAAAGTTATAACAAACTAAAGTGGAAAACGAAAGAGCCGTTAGATATGTTCTTCTTACTTTCGTTGCAACAGAAAATATTAATAAATAACATACTTATATGCAATAAAAACCATATTACATTCAGTTGTTATCATTGAGGCCGTAATGCAGTCAAAACTCCTACCACAATGCAAATTGTGTCAATCTTATGGGCATACTCACAACTACCTTGGTAAGCACCATAGAGTGTCGAAAACCTGATCATCACCAACAAAAACGTTGTAACTGTGGTGAGGCTCATCCTGCTAACTACAGAGGATGCGTAGTTGCGAAATAACTAAAATAGATTCTTGACCAAAGAACTGGTACAAAAGAAAACGAAAAAACAAATGTGTCAAAAGCCTCCCAAAAAACGCAATCGCCAACCAATGGCTGAAAATAAAGTTTCAGCAGCAAATGAACTAACTTATTCGCAGGTTGTAAAAGAGAACAATTGTTCAAGTGATGCTATTTCATCAACATGTTTTAGAAAGCTTACAAAACGAAATGAGTTTACCAGTACCAAAAAATAAATAAATATAACAAAATTCTTAAAAATTGTGCTATGGAGTGTCTGAGACCCATTTTAGCAAGCAAACTCACATTAAATTCAGAAACTTTGAAATGTATCATGCAATACATCCGAATAATTGTGCATGCGGATTAGCTGCTATTATAAAAAGAAGCAACATAAAACACCACGAAGAAAACCGCATATCTACAGAAGAATTTTAAACAATAACGGTTGCGATACAGTCCCTCAAGACATCAAAGAAAATGCCATAGCTATCTAGGACTGACCAATAGACATAAAAACCGATTCATAATGGCTGGTGATTATAATGCGAAGCTCTTCAAATGACTGGGTGCAGTATCATGTCTACTGGAACACCAACTTATTGGCCAACAGATCCACTTAAAACACGAGATCTTATTGATTTTTTTCACTACATTCGAATTAAACATGGATTTATGTACTCTGATTCAAAGGAAGCAGTGTGTTAGGACCCATCCTTTACCTACTCGGCAAAACACAAACTGCATCAATTGCAAGATTGCAGGAACATTTAAACAAAATATTTGAATGGACAGCTAAATGGCGAATAAAATTAAACGAAACTAAATCAGTACATATTGATTTCACATACAACAATACTAGATACATGTACAACGTGCGTTCCAAAGTAAACAGGACTTCAAAAACAAAAACAGATAATAGTCTCCTTATGCTTCAATACAGCTCTTTGCACGATCCTAAAGCATGTCGAACGAGTGTTTTAGCGCGTTGGGCGATATGGCCGCCAGTATGCCGTTGCCTCCCGTGTGCTTAACGCTTTCCTTTTATGGACAAATGTAGTTTTCCGAAAAGGAAGAAGTCGCACGGTGGCATATCAGGTGAATACGGGGAGTGGTTAATGGTTAAAATGCGATTTTTGGTCAAATAATCGGTTAATGATGTCCTTCGAAAGTTGGATTCTGAGCAATTTTGGTCGTCAATCAATTCGCGCTGAACAAACTGTCCACGCACCATTCGTAAGCCCAAATGTTCGGTCAAAATGCGATAAATCGATATTTTGGAGATGTTCAATTCCATTTCCGTGAATGTCAATGAATGATGATTTCGGCTGATTTTAGATGAATTCACGGAATGCGATCGCAGTATTGACCCAGATGCTGTATCAATCAACAAATGATCCCAAACTTTCATTTGGGAAGACTTTTCGATCATGTGAACACTAAGTTTGTTTTATGAAAAAAAAAAACAAAAACACGGAACTTTTAACAAAGGTCAAAGGGAGTGAAAAGTTATAAATTTAATAACGGTCATGTGGAATTTTACTGAAATAGGTACTAAATCTTATAATCGAATCAATATTTAGTTGTGCTATGGAACTGCTAATGACGAATAATACAAAAGGAATTCAAACTAAAAGCTTACGGTTACGTTAACGCTTCGTTATTTTATTTACTATCTTTTTAGTTTCATTAAGTACATTAATGAAGCTAAAACAAAATTCTCAAATTCTTCCACCATACAACATTAAACATTATAATCCTTTGCGGCTGGCAATATGCAGCGTGACCTAAACACGATTGTCACTTCAAAAACACCCACACAATGACCAGTGCTGCTGTGTGCAACAAGCAATATATTGTTGTTGGTTTCTCGTGCCGCTTTGCTGCTCATGCAGCACAATGTCTTTCTGCTTCTACTTATTTCTCTCGCTGATCAAGATCATTGGCCTTATTGATCGCAATGCGAGATTACAGTCAGCGCTGACTGTCGGCAGAAATAACGGTCTACGCGCAATGGGTGTCGCATGGCGTAGTGGAAATGTGGTCCTTTTTTTTTGTTTTTGTTTTTTGTGAGGTACTCCTTGGTCA